TTATGTATATTGTATATTATACTGTATTATATATATTATAAATATTGTATATTACACATTATACAATATTATATATTATATATTATATTATATTAGTATAATATATATATTGTATATAATATTATAATACAATAATTAAATATTATATATTATATTATAGTACCACGTATATATATATTTTACAAAAAAAAAAAAATCAGCACAAGAAACGTACGAATGTTAAGTAATTTGTAATTAATATTTCGCCTCAAAAGATTCGTTAATTTTCGCCCGCGAGAGAAGGACACGCCGCGTATTCTTCTGAAGCATTTTGGCCGAAGTTTCTGTGTCGAGTGGCGATTTCAGAGCGTCAAATCTTGCCGAGCCCCGGCGTTTCGCCCCGAATCGTTGTCTCGAAGTAATAATCGAGGATTCCGGCGCGGTTGCACCGGGGAATCTCGTTAACTCCGACTTAACGGGCAGAAATGGACGTAAATATCAGGAACATCGAATGGCATTCCATCCCTCAAGTGGATCAAACCTATCTACCGTAATGCCTCGCGTTTCCTCTATTAACCTGACTGATACACGGAAGTCTGCTCTCACAGAATTGGTATCACTTCGCTGAGAATTCTTTCTGCTTCCAGCCTTCAGACACAGTTGAGCTCGTAGAAAATTGTGCGAATAACATCGTCGGATATTTACTGAGCGTAAAAGTCAAGTGTTCACAGTGCAATGGAATAAGAAAACGAAGAGCGAAGCAGAAGTGGAAATTGATTGAGGATTTTTGGCGTAGAAGTTTGAAAATTTTTGAGTTGAGAGTCATCGGTCCGAGTGTTGCGTAAAATTTGGTTTCGTCTTGAAGGATATCGCACGAAACGTTGCGCAAAGTTTCTCTGCATTTGAAAAGAAACGTGCAACAATGACACGAAAGAAAGATTTGCAAAAGTTAGTATTATACGTTCGACCCGGTGGCACAGAATAGGATTTCTCAAAATTTTTAATAATAACTAAAGTGATATTCGATATATTTATACAAATACTCAGCAAATTTATATAAATTATATATATATATAAGTGTATAAATATAAAATTTTATTTTATAAGTACATAAATCTAAAATTATATATATATATATATATATATTTGTAAATATTTAAATATAAAATTATATATATATTTTGTAAGTATATAAATATAAAATTATATATATATAAGTATATATATTTTATAAGTATATTAATATGAAATTATATATATATATTTTATAAGTATATTAATATGAAATTATATATATATATATTTTGTAAGTATACAAATATAAAATTATATATATATATATTTTATAAGTATATAAAATTATATATGTAAGTATATAAATATTCAGGGAATTTATAGCATGAACTCGACAACGTATAAATATATATTTACACAATTAAAATTGATTACGTTTGATTTTGATTAATATAACTGATTAACGTATCTTCACAGTCTGCCACGAGCGAGCAATTTTCGCTAAATATAACATGTACGTCTCGCCGAAACATTTCCAGGTCGATCTGCGACACATTGACGAGATCGATAACAGCAACGTCGTCGACATTGGCGTCGATCTGTCGGAGTTTTACACTTCCGTCGAGTGGGACATCCTCGAAGTCCCAGCCGTGAGGTAAGACATCGCCTAAACGAACAGCCTAAACGCCCCCCCCCCCCCCAAGGACCGGAGGACCTCTTTCTCCAAGTTCCTGCGCCAAATTCCAGCCAATCCTCGAGAAACTGGCAATCCCCCGAGCGAAAACGCCAATCGAAACGAAAATATAATCAGGAGGGGGGGGTTGTGTGTGGCTCGTTTCTTCCGAGTTTTCCAAATTTTCTCCGAGGAAAACGTGAAACGCGTGCACGACGCGACGAATAATTCGCACAACGAAGTCGTAAATAAACAATTTTCGGAAACAATTTTCTTCAATATTTGGCAAATAACGTGACAGTTGAAATGAATGGTTCGAATTGACGTAAGGCTCGTTTCGTCCAATTAAATTCGAAGCTGATGCAAATAATTGGGATCATGATCAATTGAAGGTGACTGACTGTTCGAGAAGATAAAGTTTATTTGATAATTGGAAATTCGTCTATAAAATGACACTCGAAGTAAATCCCGGAGAAATCGTATGGAAAAAAAAAAAAAAAAAAAAAATAGTTGAGCGAAAATCAGAATAAATTTTCACAATAAATAACAGAATAAATCGATTAACTGGAAATAAATCAATTTCATCCTTATTACGAAATTTATTACGTGACAACGTAATCTCGTTATTTTGCAAATAGGATTGTTGCTGAAAAATTTTATATCTAATTCAGGGATGATGTTTCGTTCGAAAGCTTTTCAAAATCGCCCACTTGTTTCCCGTTGTTTCGCAAACAGAGGTAAATGAAACGTGCACGCGTATTCACAGCGGAGGGAATCCACCGGCGATGACAATTCGCCTAAAAACTCACTTACGCTCCCCCTACGGTACGATTTCGTTCCCGTAGGAATGAAAAGTTTTACACGTGCTGCGACGAGCCCTACCTCGACATCACGTTCAACATCACCATGAGACGGAAGACTCTGTTTTACACCGTCAACCTTATAATACCGTGCATGGGCATCTCGTTTCTCACGGTGTTGGTCTTCTATCTGCCAAGCGACAGTGGCGAGAAGGTGAGTCTGTACTCGTCTTGATTCTCTCCAACAATATACAGAGGATGTTTCGTAACTTGTGCGACCCACTTCGGGAGCTGATTGATACGCCTAAAAATAATGAAAGAAAGTCATATAAATACATGTCCCATCTGTCCTCGTTTATGAGATATAATGAATTTTCTGTTTTAATTACTTTTACAAAAGATGCTCGAAATGACGAGCTTGCGTTCGAAGACAAGCCTGCACGCGTCTTGTCATTCATCTGGTTACTCTCTCTCTATCATTCCTGGTGTTTCTCGAATTTGTCGGAA